CGCCGGTCCTGGCGCACATGTACAGCCAGCCGTACCTTTAACGGCCGAGGCAACTCACACCATTAACAATTGGCAACAGCCAGTTTTAAATCATTCCCTGTCTCCGGAAGGTATCCCTGAGGAGAGCTGCTCCTCATCCACCCCACAGTCACGCTGCGCCGATTACAGCAAGGAAAAAGCAAAAGGCTGCCGCTCACCCTCCTCCCTGAGCACTGACCAGGCAGCCTGGCTGCCTTGGCTCCTGGCTCCCACTGCTCCTCCACCGGCATATATATCCCACCCTTCAGCTGCACTAAGGGATCTTCGCAACTCCTGTCTCCTACCAGGCTCTCAGAGGACCTGATCTGAGCTGGAAAAAAGCAGCTGGCTAGGTGAACACTTCCAACAGCTCATTGCTATTACAGGAAGGTGAGGATGCTGCCATCTTGCCATTAAGTCATATCCTCCTTGACCCAGTGAGTCAGTTTCCATAGGAGTCACCCTCCCAAGTGATGGAAGCTTTTATTTTTATCTGGTTTATTTAAGCACTTCTCTTCCCTCTGTCAGTGTTGGCCTGGGCAGCAGATTTGGGTCATTAGCCTCTCAAGATCATTCCACCTTCCTTGCTCAGTTGTCCCATCCCGTCACCTCACCTCTGCAGCAACCTAAAGGCAGCACCAAGAGCAGAAGGAAAAGTCCAGGGGTCAAAGCAGCATGACAGGACAGATGAATTAAGGAAAACAGGCCTTAGGTAAAAGTGATTATAGGAATAAAAAAGAAAGACACCAAGGAAGAACAAAACAAAACAGAAAAGTTACCAAATGGAACACAGGATCATCATTACGTGTCTTTTTCGATTTGAGACTCATTCTCCAGTGGAATGAGGACTCCTTTATGACACGCCCAAGCTCACTGGCAACTATCATGCCTTGGTTATTTTTTCCTGTGGCTCCCTGAGGATACACACATCCCAGGGAGCAAACCCCACGTTAGGAAAACACAGCCACAGGAACAAGCAACACCTCTGCACTGGCACAGCAGAGGTGGCTCCAACAGCCAGTGGAGCTGAACCGGGTCTTTTGGGGACATGGCACTGTGGTCATTTGCCAATAAGCAAGAACTTGCTCACCTCAGATAGCTCCATAGAGAGGTCACACAAGCAAGAAGGGGCTGCACTGGCACCTCTGAGTCATCTTTGCTGCATTTTCAGAGGCCAACAGCAATTATGCTGTTGCACAACTCCTCTCTGGAAGATAAAAGAGATAGAGCACTGCTGGTGATCTGTGCCAAGGGGAGGCTGGGTCTTGCCTGCATAGGGACACCAGAGCCATGTAAATCAACCAGACCAGATGCTTGAAAAGCAGCTGGGTGCCCTGAAAGCCTTGAGGTTTGCCAAGATGCTCCTGATCAACTCCCTGACAGCCAAGAGCAGTGCCCCCACCCCATTCCAGCACTCAGGAGCTGACTGCAAGCCCTGGGCAAAACCATTCACTTCCACAGAGATACTGTTGGGGAATAAGGAGTGGGACTGAAGTCCTCCCTCCCCTCTATTGGGAAGGAAACTGTGTTTATACGGGAGCAGCAGGCCATTTCCACCCCAAAGCCCAGCTTCTGAATAAGAAAAGCAACCTGTGCCCTCCCAGCAGGATGTCCTGCAAGGGAGCAGGAGAGGTGGGGGGAAAGTTCTCTGTAGCCAACTTCCTTCTCCTCCCAGAAAGGTCTGGGAGGTGACTTCATCTCCTGTTCCACAACCATGCTGCTGAACTCCAGGGCTCTCCTGGAGAGCACCTGCACAAGTGAAGCAGGGACAGGTCCTTCCTGTCACCTCCCAAAGGTCATAATGTGGAAAGAAATGTCTCATCACATGGAATTTCCTTGGTGGTGTCTACCAAACTAAAGTTGTCTGTCACCATTAAGTGTAATTATCAAGAAAAGATGGTGAGACTTTCACTTTTATGTGAGAATAGGGAGCTACCAGTTTACACAGTGATCCCTCTAAGCCCTCCAGACCAGGCAGCTTCTCCTCCACCACAAGTCCTCCCCTCGCTGCCTTCTTAGGACTTCGAGAGGACCAAGCCTCACCTCTCCAGTTCTCACTGAAACAACGTGTAAAGGCCCCAGCCCATAAATCCAGGGCCCCACATAGGGACCTTGGTGCCTCCTGACCCATCTAGGTCAGCCACACCAGAGAAAGCTAAGAGCAAGGAGCTTCACATTGGTCATTACTCCACACTGTTCCTGCCGGAGCCAGCTCCCTGAGGTTCAGCTAGATATCCCATGTTGCACTTCACAGCACACAAACATCTTCCTTGACTCACAGGAGATGCAATCCTCAGTTGAAAAGTTCATTAATTAGGAGTAGAAACACCTCTAGTGAATCTCCCAGCGAGAAGGGGAAAAAAAAATAATCCACAATTTAGTCTTAATTACAAGGCCTTAGGGCACTCCACAGTCACTGTGAAGCAGAGGCCAAACTTTTCTCCCCACCCCTAAGAGCAGGAACTTTAACCCAGTTACAGCTTTACAGATAAAGGAAAAAAAAAAAATACAGCCCTGATACTCATCACTTTAAGTATAGCACAAGTAACAGCAAGGAGGAGGCACTGAAAAACCCTTCTGGCAGAGCAGTAGGGGGCGGGAGCACAGCCCATGTCCGGGAAGATCCACTCACACGCCCCCAGCCTGGACCTCCGGCCAGGCAAAGCAGGAGTCCGGCCCCCGGCCCCTCCACAGCACGGGGCCAGACTGCGCGCAGCTGCTCTGCCGGGATTTAGCAACCGCTTTCCACCCACGGAGCGTGACTCTGCATATTAGATACTGAGCAAGACCTCAAATGCCACAGCAGCCTCAGCCCCGTGAAGAAACTGCAGCCGGAGGTGCAGGGAGAGCAGCTGGAAGATCCTGGGAAGAACTCCAGTCGCACAGAGAGAACTTCCCTTTCTTCCCGGAGGAGCTGGACTCCAACCCACCCTGAGCCTCTGGCGAAGCAGGGTGGATCCAGCCACAGACACGCAGCAGCCACACCCTGGCTGCTGCCTGCCGGCCTCCCAGCGACCTCCTCTCCCCGAGCCGAGCGGGGGCACACACGAGGACGAGGCTTGTACAGTTGAAAATATTTAATACGTGTTGTACACGTAGAATTACATTTTATACAAAACAAGATACATACTGAAGGAAAACACTGTACAAAATCCCTACGGGAGCCCCAAGCCTTTATACAACAAAGACCAGGAGTTACCAAGCCTAACAAACAGGCCCAAGGACTTGCCGTCAGAGCGTCTGTAAACTTCGTTTCTCTCAATAAACACTTTTAAAAAGCACCACGTAATAGTTCTGACCTAAACCTTCCCAAAATAGAGACTTTATTTAATAAAAATACTTTCCAAGCTTAAAATACTACCCGGTGGGTGCGCCCCCGGTGTCGGCAGCTGCGGCAGAGCCTCCCAGGGGCGCCGGGGAGGGCGGCGGCCCGGCCGGGAAGGGGAATTCCGGGAGGGTAGGGCCGAGGGCGCTTCCAGGGCGGATGCCGGCAGACGGGACCCAGCTTGCCGGCGGGGAAGTGCTGCTGCTGCTGCCACCCCTGCCCCGCGGCCCTTCCCGTGCGCCCCGGCAACGCGCCGGGACTCGCCGGCGCCGAATTCCCGCGGCGCTGCCCGCCCTCCTCCGCCGGGCCGTGGGTGCGGGGGTATCACCTCTCTGTCCAGCTGCCCGTCCGTCCCAACAGGGCCCCCATCCCCGCGGCGGCGAGCCAGACTCTGCGGCCCGCGCGTCAAAAGGCCACGATGGCCGTGCTCCAGGGGTTGAGGGTCCGCAGCACCGGCTCGTCGCAGCAAATCTGTCCCGGCTCGGCCGCCGCGTCGGTGGGTGTCGTGGCCGCCGTCGCCTCGCCGCCGTCAAGGGGCGCCCGCCGTCGGCCCTTGGGCTCCTTGCTGAGCAGTCCTGAAAAGCTGGAGCCGAAGATGCTGATAAGGCTGGCGACGTTGCCCGTCTCCATGTCCTCCTGCTCGCCAGGCGGCGGCTCCTCCTCCACCTCGCGGCGGGGTTTCTTTACTGGGGAGCCCGCCTGGCCCCGATCGCCGGCGCTGCGCTTCCGGGGGCAGTGAGGCGGCGGGGGGGCCGCGGCCTCAGCGGCGCAATCCGAGCGGTTCGCCTCGCCGTCCGCCGCCGCGCAGCAGCGGCTACAGCCGCAGCAACAGCGCCGCGGCCGGGGGCCCTCACAGTCCGCGCAGGGCAGCCGTGAGCCGCCCCGACCCGCTTCGTCCTGCGGCGGCGGGGGCGGCACCTCGCCGGCCGCCCAGACAGTGGTGCAGGGCGGCTGCTCGTCGTCGGGGGACCCGCAGGCGGCGGGGGGCGGCTCAGGAGGGCAGCCCGGCTCGCTCAGGTAAACCTGCCGGGCGCTGCGCAGCACCAGCGACACCAGGAGGTTCTTGTGGAGCTTCAGGCCGCCGCGCTGGCCCCGTGCGCTGTAGATCTTGCCGAGCGAGATACTGACGATGCGGTGCGCCTCCAGCTTGAACTCCATGGCGGACAGGGGCCGACAGGACCACCGGGCTGAGGTGAAGCCGTGCGGAAGCCGCGCCAAACCTCCCGTCGCCTCCCGCCCCTCTCGCTCCCCACGCCGCTCCTTCGCGCCGCCGACTGAGGCGAGCCCACGCGCCCAGCGCCATTTTATACTGCCCCCGCCCCGGCCAATCAGGGCGCCCCGCCGGCCGCTCCAACTGCCGGCTGGCCCCCGCGCGCCCGCGCCTGCCAATGGCGACGCAGGGGAGCGGGTTCGAACGCTCTCCCGGCGGAGGTGGCTCTTAAAGCGGCAACGCCAGCACGGGATAGTGGTGGGGCCTCCCGCCGTCGGACAGCGGCCGGGACTGCGGCAGCACCCTGGGCTCGGCAGCCCCAGCTTCACTGCACCCCGCATTGGCTTGATCACACCGACAGGCAGCAGCGGGGATTTTGGCCAAAACAACTGAAACATTTAGAGAGGAGAGGGGAGGAAACAGCAAACCAAAGCAAGAGTAACTCTGTTTTACAGGTCAGAAATGTTTCAGTTTCAGCAGCGGGCTCTGAGATCTTGTCGTGTTAGAGACCGTGCTGGCTAGAGGGGGAAGTGCAGCTTTGAGTTCTTCAAGGAATATCTGCCCTGACATGGAGCAGAAAGCCATGCCTGCCCCACTGCCAGGCAAGAGATCTGCTCCAGGGGTCTGGCAGCAAAGCTCACAGCCCAGAATAGAAGATGAAGATCCACAACGGGGTCAGGTAGGGCTGCAAGACCGGGTGGGGGAGGACAATATGCCACCAGCATCTCCAGGGGTGATGGGGTCTGTGGCAGCTCTTTGGGAACTGAAACCTTGCTTTGCCATAGCTGTGAAACATGCTGTCAGGGCCAGGCTGGTGGCCGGGGGCTGCAGGAGATAACCCACCCCCCAGACACAGCTCCAGGCACCAGGGTAGCCTCCGAGAAAGCTCAGGGGGTGTTTCAGGGCTTGTAGTGGGGACCCTCCTTCTTCCACCGAGAAGCAACCACCATCTGCAAGGAGGCAAGAAGTGAAAGGACCCAAAATTAAGGAAGTTCAATGTGCTGCCCTGGAGCATCAGTTTCCATTCTCAGCTGACACATGTGACAACTTGCTTCCATCCCTTTTTTCCAAGAGATTTGTCTGCAGGCCCCCGACAAGAGCTAGAGGCTGTGATGACATCTGGTTGGCAAGACCTGCCACCATGTCCTGGATCACTGGAACAACAAGGGGGTGGCTGGTCATAGTGGTAACAAAAAACAGGTTGAGATTTAGTCACATCAAGACATAGTTGAGACAGCAAGAGCGTTTCCCCAGGAATCCCCCCCACACTCAGACCAAACAAAAGTTTTCCTTCTGCTCAAGCACAGTTAGAAAACCTCAAGTGCCACTCTGGATGTTGAACACAACCACATTTCTACCTGGGGGTCAACATCTCAAAATGTCCACCTCCTCTTGCACAAACCTGCCACACTCCATCCTAAACAACTAGACCAGAGCATGCTCAACTGTACAGCCAAAACACCGGCCAAAGCAGCCAGCCTCAGCTGTCCCTTGTCCACGCCAGGGCATGCCTCTCACGGAGCGAGGCTGTCCCACCCACACCCAGCGTGGGAGGCTAGAGGGACGCGAGCCCCAGTGGTGGGAACCGAGGGTTTCCAGACCCGCCGAACCTGCTCCTGCGCCTTGGAGGGCCGGCAACACCCTGGCCTAAGCCCTCGGGTCAGTCTAACCAGCCAGAGCAGGTCTAGGCTTGGATGTTTGGGACTGCAGTCACACCTCCTGGCTCTCGGCCCACATGTCTGCCCAACACCAGTGCCCTCCCCACTCCATGACACAGCATTCAGTTGTGCCCCTGCAAAATGGCTTGTCCATCACCAGGCGTGTTGCTCTGAGACTGCTGGTTGCAGGATCTGGGCACCTGCATCCTCAGCAGAAATAACCGCAGTTAGAAGGATAAAGCCAGGTTTGATACGTCTTAGCTGGATATATTCCTGACTTAGATGTGGGTGAAGAGCAGCGGTGCAAATCCATCCCACTGGCTGAAAAAAGCTGAATGCAGGTGTAGGAGACACAACACTAGAGCTTTGCTGAGTGAAGATGCCTGGATCTGAGCGGACTGACCTGTTCTGCCGCTCACTGCCTCACCCCAATGGCATGAGGCACCATTCCTCTCCAGTTGCTGTGTTTTAGCTACCTAACCTGCCTAGGAGCAGGTGGGCCAGCAGCTTCCCCCTTGCCCTGGCTAGGGATAAGCACGATGGGAATGGGTACCGAGTGGTCTCTCATCCCTGTTAGTGCTCAGACAGGAATCTTTAAGAGTGGCAGGGAGGAACAGAGGCACATGAAGTCAGGTGGCAGAGCTAGTACCCAGTATCACACATCAACACTGTGCCTGCTGTCAGGCATAACCACTGGCATGTGTTATTCCCAGAACAAAATAGCCCCACCCCTGCCTACACTTCATACCCTTTGCAAAGAGATGGGACAGTGGTTTGCTTTCTCGGGGTGGGGGGTGACATGCAAGGGGAAAACGGGAAGACCGGCACCAAGTGCAGACAGCGCGCTCAGGCAGCCCGTTTAAGCCCGGCAGTATTTTGGTGGCAGCCCTGCCTTTCCCTCCCAGGCTGATGTCATGCTTTAGTAAGTTTGAGACAGTCACATGGCAGCTCCTGAGGTCAGCTGCTGGGGTGGCTTTGTTGTCTGCCTGCCTGCCTGCCCTGGGCTCCTGCCTGCACCCGAGCCGGTCCCTGCTGCTGGGTGACCCTGCTGTGTTTGTCCCTTGAACACGGCATCTCCGTGATACCCACGGCTGGACACAGCGTGGGAGCCGTCACTTCGGTGGGGCTGGCATCCCGGACAGTCGCACACGCCTCGTGTCTCCCCGTCTGCCTGCGGAAGGGACATTACCCCCCATCCCTGCGGGTCGGGGGAGGGGGGGATACACGAGAAGGAGGCGGAGGAAAGGGTGTGACGAGGTGCTCTAATCTCCGCATGTGATCTAACCGGGCTGTAAGGGGGTTGATGAACAATTAACAATCCTCGGCCTCAGCTGCTGCTTCCAGAAATAGCTCTGGCAGGAGGAGGAGGGCGGACGGGCTGGCAGACAAAGGTGGCCTCTCCGCCAGCAAGCTGCAGTCGGCAGCGTGGCCAGCAAGCCAGTGGCGGAGGCAGCCCCGGAGGCCGAGCAGCGGGGAGCCTGCGGCCCCACCTGGAAAAGAAAACAATGCAAGATAAAAGCAGCTCGGGGCAGGAAGCAGCTTGTGGTACAAATAATAATTGGAGAGGGCTGCCTACACCACCGGGAGTTTTGGAGGTGTTTAAATTCGCCTTCCACAGTGGGCAGAGGAGGCTGGCGCCGGGAAGATCGTCTGGGATTCGCAGGGCTGCATCTCGGCTGGGCGCAGCGTGGGGCTGTGTGCCAGATGCCTGCATCCCGCCTGCATCCCCTGCTATGGCAGCAAAACCCCGACCGGGTCCTCCCGCCCTCCTTCCCCCCCAGCTGCAGCCCACGCAGCAGTGTCGTGGTTGGAGCCGCACCAGCACAGCCATCTGGCACCCAGCACAGCCGCAAGACCTGCGGCGGTGGGGCTGAGGATGTGGTTAGCAAGGTCCTGTTTCGACCACGGCGCCTGTCCCAGTCCCCACTCCCCCGCCAGACCTTCGCTGTCACCAAATGCGCAGCCCAGGCCCCAGAGAGAAGCCAACTGCAACAAAGAGGTGGAGAACCCTGTGGGTAGGACAGATGGTGAAGTTAGGGTCTCCTCGAAGCACAGACTGAAGTCATCCATCACTTCTCTTGCCCGTCCCAGCACCACTGCAGTCCACTGTCCCCTTTCTATTAAATTCAGACCAGAACTCATAAGAGCCTTCCCAGGAAGAAGATAGGAAAAAAGAAGCCAAACCTCCCTCACCACCACTGAGGCTGGGAAAAAAAGCCTTCGCACCAACAGTTGCCTTGCAGAAAGAACAGAGCTTCTGGACAGCCAAAGCCTCAGGGAGATCCAGGCACATCCCAAGAGATTGCTGATGGAAGCAAAACGGCACAGGGAGGATCATTTCCAAACGTGATTCATCTGCAGCCCAAGTTCATTTCTAGATGGAAATAACAAACATCTCAATTGTGAGGGACTTACACAGGGCTCAGGATGAGAAGGAGGTTTCTCTGGGGTTGTTTGGGTTTTTTTTCCTCAGAAAAATCAATGACTTGCATGGATGTGGTCTGGACCTGCTGCAGTCAGATATCAGTAACTAATTCCCCAGGGTTCCCAACTGCTCTGGTTTATGCAGGATTGGAGATAAGGTCAGAAGAGCTGGGAAACATCCCAAAACAGCAGAGTGCTAACCGCTAATCACTGCCAAATGAAAACCAAACACAGTGCACAAGTGAAACAAACACAAATCAATACAAAACCTAAAGCCAAAGGAGAGAAAGAAGCTCCCTCCCTCCTCTTCTGAAAGGGCTGAGACACCCACCCCTGAAAGCACAGCCACATATTAGAAAGCAAAGGTTTTTTCCAGGGTTAAAAACCTCCTACCCATGAGCAGCGATGATAGTGTAGGTAGCCCAGGCAGTCAGGACTCCTTCCTACAGGGTTTTTTTTCACCAATAACCTGGGATTCCCCCTTTTGCTCTTTCACAAATGATTTAAAATTTCCTTTCCCTTACTCTGAGCCTTGGGATTTCCCTTCCCTTCCCTGGAGACCCGTGACCTGGACTCCCTGCTCATCAGAAATCCTGCTACTCCTCCAGCACTCTCTCCAAGCACAAAGGGGGTCGGGGCAGAATCCCACTCCCAGCTATCAGCTTCTTCAGGCAGCCATTTCCCCTGGAAAAATGTGGCCCCACATCTTTCAGTGTTTTATGGAACCAGTTTGGGTTTCCTGGAGAAAAAAAAATGCATTTATTTGTCCAGGGTTTCCTATCAGACAACCCTTCCATTGTACTCCACCTTCCTGTACTTTTCTTCCCCTCTGATATGGCTGCAATGGGTCCTGTGCCATTTCCAAAGACAGAGGCTGCCTTGTGTCCAGGGGGGAAAGAAGCAGGACAGCCCTGGGATGCAGCCCAGCAGACAACCCTCTGGCTGCCCAGCAAAGCCCATGCTTTTCACTGGAGTGATTAGCTCCCCAGCAAACTCTTTGCTACAGAAGAAGGCAGCCTCAGTGGCGTTCACCTGCAGCCCAGTATGGGGTTAAACATCCCAAATTAATCATGCAAACTCCGCAGAGCCAACCAGGTCTCAACTGCGCAAACGGTGGGGTAGATCTCCTGCCCAAAGGACTCTCTGCCTAATTATTTTTTAACTTTCCCTGTATCTCAATGTCACCTTCCTTTTAGCCAGCAGGCAAATGACAGCTGTAGCCCTCTGCACATCCCAGAGTGCAGATGTGTCCTCTGTGCGACTGTTTTGCTTAGGCATGATGGGGAGGATGCGCAATGATGCTCTGGAGCCATGGAGCTGTTATCCTAGGAGAGATGCCTGCTCTGCTCCCTGCTGACGAAAAGGGGGACCAAGGTCCCTGGGACTTGCCAACAAACCACACCACACACAGTCCTTATTCAAAGTCCAAAGGCATGCCAGGAGGCAACCTTGAGTCCTAAGAGTAGCAACCATGGAGGAGGGCACCAAGGGCAGAGCAGATCCTCTCTGTGTCGAATCCCTCCTCCCACCATCAAGCGAAACTGCAAAATAAAACATCTGTGCCTCCCAGCAGGCATTGACTCCCACTCTTCTCTCTGATCTGTGCCCCTTCCCTCTCGTGCAGGCTATCATTTAGCCACCCATTCCTTCTAGCAACGTGAGGCTAACAATGTGACAGAGCCTGGAGCCCTGGTGAGGTCATCCATGGAAACAGGAATAACAAGGAAGGTTATGGGGAAAGGATGCCAGGGAAAAGTTAATTCTGATTTCACCCACATAAAAAAGTAACAAGGACTCTGGCAGTGCAGCACCTTGCTACTCATGTAATTTAATCTCTTTCTGGATCCACGTAAGTTCTCAGCACCCCTGGCATCCTGTGGCAGGCAGTCCCAGAGGTTCACCCTGCTGAAAGTAATGCTGCCTTTGCTCTATTTCATTTCACATTTTCATCCTCATTAAATAATCAATTGCTCATGCACTACAAAGAGGGATTTATTTTTTTTTCAAAACCACCATTATTCTGAATAGTCATCCCACATCCTACCACGAATTATCACCTTGCATTTGCTCATTTATTTTGTACTTGATTGTAACTTTGACCTTTGTGGCCAGCTGTCGAGTCAGGGATTGCAGCCTCTACTGCACACAGGCCTTGCACTGATATGAACCTACCCAAGGGTAAGGCTATGGCATGAAACCAGCTCTCAGTAGACAATGAAAGCTCACAACAGACAGCAGCAGGAGGAAAGTCACAACCACAGAAGAAGCTTTGGTGAGGCTTCATTCCTTCCCAGACAACTGTGTGTCCAAGGAAACCCACTCCATTGGCTCTAGCATGTAACCAGGAGCATCCAGCATCCAAGCCACCTTCTTGGCAAGGAGCAATCACCTCTCAGCATCTTGCTCTTTTAATGCCTCAGAGCTGCCACTGTCAGGCCACCATGCTGTCACACAGCTGAGGCCTTGTGTCACCTGTGCCCTTGGTGCTTCACAGGGAAGTCCCCACCTATTCATAAAAATGAGGCTCAGGAAACCTTGTTACAAACACAGAGGGGCCATGAGTGGGTAGGGTTTGCTGGAAACACTTGGAATTTGATGGAAAACCACACTGCCCACCACAACACTGAATATTTAGCCACAAAGTAGTGTTTTTTATCAAGTTATCATTGCCTTATCTCTCCTCCTACAACCATAGAAAATCTTCAGCAACTTTCACTAAAAATGCAAATGAGGAAGAGAAACACTGAAGCATCTGAAACCCATTAGCTTTATTACTTCTTCCTTTAGCCGTAAAACCTTTTCTGGAGGAAAAAAAAATCCCCTATGTTTTTACAAATCCAAATTCAAATCAATCCAGCTTTTCTCCAAGAGGAAAAGCCATCCCTTCCTGCCAAATGCATGTTTTTGTACCTGGCTAGTACAGGATCTCACACACACACACTCCCCCGTCCATGTACACACATGCCACATTTTTTTCCTGATAAAAGCCTCAGTAAGCCCAATTCTTCCCTGCAGACAGTTGGGATTTTGATGAGTTGGCGCTTTTTGGAACAGAAGTGTTTAATCAGATCTTTCCTGACCAGTTCTGCAGCTGTGTGCCATGCACGAGCACTCCTCTCCCAGGGAGGAATCGGTTAGCTGAGCATGCCAGAAAGCTACCAAAATACTTCCCACTGCTTCAAAACCAAAAATCAGAGCTTCCCACAAGATATGGCAAAAATGCCTCCATTCTGAAAAGTCCATAGCAGTGCTGTTGAATCTAAATCATTGACTGCATCATGTACATTAATTTCCAGCATCAAAGAAAAGACTGTCTGTGTTATTACTGGAAAGTCTGCAACTTCCCTACACTTCAGTAACACCTCCTTATTTTCAGCCCTCAACAGCCCTGCAAAGCTTCACACTTTTTTGCAAATGCATAAAAAAACACCCATTTTCAATTAAGTGAATAAAGTGTTCATAGAATTTATTAAAGGATTTCTGAAATTCCTAGCTAGTAACTCTGAGCGGCTGTGGGAGCTTTCCCTTGTTTCATTCCCATCATAGCGAAGGTTTCAGGGGATGCTTGACAAGAGCAAGCCAAACTGCGCAGTCTTGGCACACCAAAAAAGGGGAGCACTGCAAATTGCCTCTGACAGACTTCCGTAAGTGTTTGAACAAATCTAACCCTCATAACCTTCAGTGGGCTGCTCAGAATATATCATGTCTTTAAACACACTATAACTTCTAGAACCAAATCCCATGGAGGCTCTGAACACAAAGCAAGAAGGCTACATTTGCTGAGCTGCTTCAGAGCAATGTCCCCATTGAGGGACAGGTGAGTTATGGTGCCCTGCATTTTGTGGAACAACCCTCCACCTCTGAGCTTGGTTGCGATATGCAAGTTGTTAAGGTGGGAGCTCTGAAGAGTGTGAAGCACAGTGGAAATCACTGGAGGATCGTGGGGGTTTGGGGAGTACAAGGCCTTTGGATACTAATGACTCCTTGGCCCCTGGAGGGAACCCTCCATGCTCACCACAGTGCATTTCGCTGGGATCCCAGCATGCGAAACAAGCCATCCAAGGTGCAGCAAGGAGGGGCCAGCAAACACAAACCCTAAAGCTTGCCTCCGGCCTGTTGCACCACACTTGGCAAGCTGCAGCTTCCCTGGTATGGGGCTGGCCGGAGCAGGAGACAGCTTTCTCACTCCACAAAACTGCAGAAACCAGTTTTACATGTGCCGCAGCCTTCCCACCCCACACTCATGAGTAAAGCTGCTGTGATTGCAAAATTGAGGTATCCAGTTCACATGCTGAGGAGGCATCTCTTGTACTTTTCTCTCAGTGAATCGGCACTGCTTTTGCTAGGGATGCTGGACCACAGCCACATTCAGAGAACACAGGCAGGGACATGCACTCCAATCAAGAGGCCAAAGATCTGGGTGGTTGCTCCTGGCCATACCTCTGCAAAACTGAGCATCTTGCCTGCCTGTCCCATGGAGTAACACAGGACACTCCACACGCAGAGTGCTGCACAGAGGAGGCTCTGCCTTGCGTGTGCGGGAACATCCCCTGGTGCTGCACAGGCACCGTTCTCTCCTGCCAGCTTTCCTAAGACTAGGGCTATCTGTGCTTGCAGCTGAGAGGCTCCTAGGTAGCCGAGATCTGAGGGGGAAACGAGGGAACAAGAGGTGCTCACGCTGAGATGGACAAAAGCCAAGAGGCAAAGGGCTGTTCTCACCCGCAGAAGGGAGGAGGAAGGAAGCGGTGCCTGTTCATTCCCGGGGCAGGAAGGGTAGCGGGAGCAGAGCAGACTGGCTGTCGCTCTCTCCTTCTTCCTCCCTCGCCGGGTGGGAAACCACCCTGCCAGGACCACGGCCCAGCACCCCGGCCGCCCCAGCCCCACTCCGGACGTGCCTCCTTAGTGCCGAGAAGCAGGGAGGAGCAGACGCGGCGGCAAAGGGACGTTGTGCTCCAAGCAGCGAAGGGCTGGAAGAGCCGGCTGGAAGAGCGGGGACAGCCGCGCAGCATCCCCCCTCTCGGGACACCCCCGGCGCCGACTGCCCCCGTCCCTCAAGAGACCGCCACAGCACCCCGAACCTCCACCGCCGGCTCCACGTCACCACTGGGCACCCCTCTTTCCCCCCCCCGCCGGCGCAGTGCGCAGGCGCGCCGCTCGTGACGGCAGGGGCGTGCGTGGCCCGGCGAAGGGGGCGTGGCGCGGTGGCGTGCGGCGGCTGGGGCGCGCGGCGGCGGCGCCATGTCGATGGAGGACCCCTTCTTCGTGGTGAAGGGGTGAGCGGCGAGCCTCGGGGACACCGGGCCACGGGCAGGGCGCTGGGCGCGGCCGGGGTTGGGCGTAGCCGCCCTAGGGAGTGAGGGCTGAGCGGCCTCCGGGGGTCTCTGGAGGCGACCGGGACGGGGGAAAATGGCGTTCCCGACACCCCCCTTTGCGTCTGGGGCGGCCCCGGGCTCGGCCGCGGCCCCGACCCCGGCCCCGCTGGGTTGCTCGACGTCGGAGGCCGGGCGCGGAAGGCCCCGGGACGAGGCTCTGTGCCGGGCAGGTGCCGGGCCGCTCCCGGGCTTCCCCGCACGAAGCGCTTCCCGCTCTCGGGGCCGGCGACGCCCGAACTCTGTAGATGCACCCCCGGGTAAAGCGGGAGGTGCAGCGCGGCCGTGGCTGCAGGTGCGGTCCCGTCTCGGAGCGCCAGCTTGGGGACAGCGTGCCCGGATGTCCCCGTCGGAGGGAGATGGCAGAGACTTGGGAAATGTTGCCCTGCAGCGCTCAGAGCAGGGCGGGCTGCTTGTGGATGGCATCCCCCAAAGCCGAGGTCCGCGGTGTACGGGTTGGAGGATGGAGAGGCGAGGGGACCAAGTTGTGAAACAAACTGCAGTATGGACAGTGGCCGTGAGAAAAAGCAAGCAGGGAAGCACCTGAACACAGGCAAACGCAAACCTGTCTTGACCGCAAAGGTGACCACCATAAAGGTGGTCAGGGCAGAAGGAAATTAATAGGTTGAAAGCACCTCAGTCTCTAAAACTACCTTGGAGCCACCTTCAGCTTCTGCTGCAGGTGGGTCTCCTACCCCATGTCACGGTGAAACAGCACTCAAGAGCAGCAGAGGTGCTTGTTGGGGAGCAGCGGGGAAAGCCGTATGAGCATAAGAGGTGTGGGAAGGGGTGCTGGTGCAGCCAGGGCAAGTGAATCAATCTGCCAGGTTGAACTGGTGCAAAGGGGAAAAAATACAAGTCGCCATGGGTGGGGAGCAAATTTCTTGTCAAACTTTTCGGAGAGGTTCCCGTGCCATGCGGGGAAGGGCTGGGAGGGGAGAGGGGTGTGCTGCCGCTCCCACTGTTAATTATTACCCAGCAGGTCGAAGGGGCTGGGGGTGGTGGTGGAACCACCAGCGTTGCATTTAGTTTGCTTTCCTGGTGTTTCTCCCATCAGAGGACGTCCAGCTCTACTTTAAATTCCTTTTGTGGGAACCTCCCCAGGTATGCTCAAATGAAAAAACCAAAACAAACCCAAACAAAAAAAATACCCCCAAACTTTTTCTAGCAAGTAGTGAAGGGAACAAAGCTTGACAAATCCTCAGTGTGGTCTGCTGCCTTTAGGGCACTAGATGTGGCGGACTTGGAACTGTAGGCCTGCGAGACAAGAAGGGACACTCATCAGGGTGCCGAGAGACTGCAGCTTAGCATGGTTGCATACTTCAGGTCATGGTGTAGAGAGCTGCAGAGTGCAGTCTCGGGTCATCTGTTTCTGGGCTTCCCCTACTGATAACCTGCTTTTCTTCACTGGGGATGAACCACCAGCATCTTACATAGATGCTGTGTGTAAGCTCTTGAGCTTGTGGTGGCCACTTTTCACACCAGCAAAGTCTGGTCTTGTCTGCATCCCTCATCCTGGGTTCTTGTCAATGTAGGGGAGCAGTTCACAGCTCAGGACTGCAGAGTTTGTAAATACAGATAACCACACTGATGGACTGTGACCCAAACTTACAGACCCATTTGCCCCAAATCATCAAAGCAGCATTCAGTGCTGTCAGCAAAGCTGTGAACACACTCATCTCCAAAAAGCTTAGAGCAGCAGAAAAGACTTGTGTTCCCTAAGCCAGTGTAGTAGAGCTGTGTATTTTTTAAATGCTGAATTAAAATAAACAGTGCTGCACTCAACAGTCTGCCTAGCTGGTACTGTGGGGACAGTTCCTCTAATTTTGTGTGCCCTAGGGGATCTTACATAGGTAGTCAGGAGTTTCCAGAGGAAAGCTGTTGAGAGGAATACAGAACGTTAATTGCCAAAGAGCTGCCTTGTTCAGACACTGCCCTGACTTGCCTGTGTGACACTCGACAGAAACCTCCTCTAAAGAAATATGTCCCTTCATTAATAGCTGACATGTAAGTTGGTGCTGCAACGAGAGATGGGATTGTCCAGTAGGTAGGGCAAATCCTTACTTCACAAAATAAGCTAAAAAGTGTTGGAGGGAAAGCTGTGCTTCCCTGTGCAGTTGGACATGGGGCTGTGACTGCTGCAGAGGAACTGATGGTAATCCCTTCACTTCTCTTTAATCACCTTGGCTGCAGGGAGGTGCAGAAAGCTGTGAATACTGCCCAGGGGCTTTTCCAGAGGTGGACAGAGCTCTTGCAAGATCCCTCCATTGCCACAAGAGAAGAAATCGACTGGACCACTAATGAGCTCAGGAACAACCTGCGGAGCATCGAGTGGGACCTGGAAGACTTGGATGAAACAATTAATATCCTTTCTGTGGTTCTTTGGAGAGGTGGGATGTGGTTCCTGGGTTGTACTAAATAGCCAAATACCAGTGCTTGCCAGTAGTTACTTTTTGCAGAAAGGACTGTTTGGGATAGAATTTTGCATTTATGTTGGCTTTTCTCAAACTGCAAATGAGAAATTAAGGCAAACATCTGCAGCAAAAGGATTTTCCTTTTGCCTTTTCGTTTTCCTTTTGACAAGGTATATTTTAAGGCTTTGTTCTAGAAAGCCTATTGTGTTGTATGAATTTGGGTTTCTGTGTAGTCAGTCATACTCTAGGCTGGCTTCCAGAAATACTCCTTTTCCCTTGTGTTCATCTGAACACTCCTGAAAGCACTGTGCAGAATCAGAGAACCAAGAAAAACGGAGGAGAGAAACCTCACACTGGTGCATGTACTGCACAGTACGTTCCTGCCATGCCTGCTTTTTCCTCCAGTGTTCCATACTTTGCAAATACAATTTTGGGAAAAGGCACAGCACAGTGGCTGCTTGGTAGGCCCCCACTGAGGCACCCTGTGGGTTTGTGTGCCTGTGTGCATACTCAAGACAGCTAATGGGGACTCCTTGACTCGCTGCCTACGCATTGTTGAGGCAAACCCACGGAAATTCAACCTCGATGCGACGGAGCTGGGTATCAGGAAAGCCTTCATCACGAGCACGCGGCAGGTGGTCAGGGTAAGGAACGTGGCCTTGGGGTGGGAACATGAGGAGGTAGCTTGAGGAAGGAAGGCAGGGGGAGTGATTAGGTGGTTAAATAAAGGAAGTCTTGTGGTCATTTCCACGATGAACTGGAGAGCAGAGAATAAACCTGATACCTGCTCTCTCTCAGGCTTCATTCTCTTCCCCTTGTGCTCCCTCCTGGGGCTGCCCATATGGGTTTGGAGCATATCCTCCTTTGTTGCTGCTGCTACCTCTTGTAAGTCTTCACAACTCTTACAACAGTAAGCCTGAACCTATAGTAACTGGAGAGGAAGAATAAAGACCTTCTGTGATGCAGGAGAGGCTGGAGCCTCCCTTCAGAGTTGAAGGAAATCGCAACTGTCCTGTGCTTATGTAGCACTATTTTTCAAAACAGAGTCCACTTTGAACACTGACAGATGGTTAAAGCCTAGCATTACTGACGTGGTGACTTCAGTTTCCTACCTCTACAACATAGTCCAAACAACCACTAGATTTATTTTTAACTCAAGAAAGATCAGGGTTTTTAGTTTAAGTTCACACTTCAGAAGCAAAAGGAAGATTTTAACAACTTGGTGGTAACAAATAGAGAAGGAACATATTCCTAAAAGCATCACTGCCTGGTAACAAGCTGCTAGTTGGGAAGTTTTCTTCCTATTAATAGCTACACTAGCATAGCTCAGTTTCTGCTGCCTCTCATGAGCCTGATGTTCCTATTTCACAAAATGCATTGCTGTGGCTGGTGGAAAGCTTGTTACTTTACCTGCAGTCCTGTGATCTGAATGCAATTCCTAAGGCTTGCTGCCTGGGAACTGATAGCTAAACCACACTCGCCCCATGTAGCAGGCATGTACTGACTGCTTTGCCCTCAGTGTAGTCCACTCCCAAACAGACAGGATCATGCAAGCCCACCCTATGGTCCTCTTTTTCTGGCTGAAGACTGCTGGCTAATGGGTTTTGGAGCAGTGTCTCTTATTGTTAAATGAAATTCGTTAGAGGCATTATGCAGCTGACTTCCAGTTTCTGTGGGGGAATACATGGTGCACAGCAGCGGGTGAAAGGAATTGAGTGGGATTCAGTGCTCTTAAGTGATGTATTACATGCCTCTGAACAGTAAAACATACCTAAATGTCCTGGTGACATCAGAATTCTGGTGAGTCAACCTCTACTAGATCATATTGACTACTTGCTAATCTGTCCTATTAAAACTAGACTGTTATAATGGGGAGCCTTCTGTGGCTAGTGATCTTTCCAGGTACTCGGCAGCAAAACTGATAGAGGAGAAAACATGCGTAGTCAGAGAGGATGGCCACAGGACAGGAAATCTATCTTGTCCTATGCAGTAGAAGCCCAGATGTGACTGGGAGTAAAGTGCAGGGGGTTACAGGCTCCCAAAATCTTGAAGAACATGATTCTTCCTTACAGTCTATCAATGGGAACGTTAGTTTAATATTATACAAATAAAAGTGTTTCTGGCTGTAGCGGAGCAAAACAAGTAGCAAAATTTAGTATTTTCAAAATATCTCATTGCGCTTGATTGTAGTATTAGTAAAATGATGAAATGCAATGAAGCTTTCTGCATTTTTTTCTAGAATTTTCAAAATTTTACATTTTCAAAGAAAATCTCCCTTCCCTCACTGCCTCTAAAATAGCCTTCCTGGATATAGACAGCCCTTTTGCGCTGTGAAACTGCCTGTCACCTCAAATCCAGTGCTCACATACTACATCTTTTGTTGAACAAACAGGAAATGAAGGATCAGATGTCAAACTCCTCCATGCAAGCACTGGCTGAAAGAAGAAACAGGCAGGTGAGAAACAGAAAAAGGCAAGTTAAGTGAACACAGTGGCTGTTTGGTGCTTTAAGGAATGAGGAGGATTTATCAGCTCTAGCAGCCGTTGTCTTAAGGTATGTGTTAGGGGAAACTTCTATTTTCACTTACTCCAAGGCTCCATGTTGTAAGGTAAAGTGTATAGCATTGATTAAAACTGTATAAAAGCTGTAATTACAAGATATATCCTGTCTGTAGTTCATCCCCTTAAAAACCTTTGTTCTGGGAAGGGGCTTGCAGGCTATAGCAAAGCTGTGTGTTTGAACTGTGTGTTTTTCTGACCTGAGCGAGCTGGTCTTGCAGGCATGTTGCTGCCTCTTCAGAGTCTGTCTCTCAAAGCAGAAAGTCAGCACTCACCATCTGTCGCTGTCTTAGATCTGTTTGTGTACAACTGTCAGTGTTGCATCATCCGGTGGAAAGGGGAATATCCCTCCTTAGGGGTGCAGACTCAGAATCCATGTCAGTGAATGTAATCCTGCGCTCTGCTGTATTTGGGATCCAAGATGCTGCAATATCACTTCACACAGCTGCCTGTCATAATGGTTAGCCATGTAATCAGATGGAAAAAGCTCAAGGAGTTGCAGTGTCTGCAAATATAATCTAAGGAATAGAAATAGGTGCAGCTTGTGCTCCTTCCTGGTTGACAGGGAGGCTGTAAGGAGATCTCGGAGCTGACTTCCAGAGCTGCCTTAGTAAAATTGGTGCGCACTTCATGCAAGTAACTTGTGGCAAAAAATGACAAACTGCAACAAGCTACTGAAGTACAGAGCTAATTCTTGAGCTTGTTACAGGGTTAGTTGATGTGCTTGCTAAACACAAAGAAGCAAAATCCCTTACACTCTTGCTCAAACAAGTCTGTAGCTGTCTCTGCATTTTGCTGCTTTCCTTTGTGCAAAGTTCCTGCTAGCTGCAGGAGACCATATGGCTCAGCTCATGTGGTGACATCTGGTCAGGAAAACTGACTTCCCCTTGCCGTCTTCCTCCCCTTTCCCCAGCTCCTCGCCTTTCCTCCAGACCATGAAGCCTGTGCTGAGCTGGACTGCAGCTGCTCTTCAATGTGCCTCTGTGTCTGAAAGACTAGCTCATGGTGATTTGACCCTTACGGGCTAAGGATGCCAAACAGGCCCTTCTGCAGCAAAACTAGTGCACCATTTTAAATAAGTGGTAGCTACGCTTGCCACAAACTGAAGAGAACCAGGAGCTTGTTCAGTGTCTCGGGGCAAAGCCATATGTCCCGTTTGCTTCCTGCACTGTTGGTCCATCAGCTTTCATTACCACTCTTGAACTTTGTAAGGCAAATGAACTGTAGAGACAGTCTTGGTTTTAGCCTGCCAGAGCAGCCTAGTGATGTCTTGCTGTTCTTCACAAATACTTGGTCATCTCTTCCTGTCCAGAAGCTGTAAGACTGTCTCATTACAAGTTGGGCTTGCCTCCATGCTGATGGGCAGAGCTCCCTACCCCATTCTAGTGATGCAGGGTGTAGCTCCTCACCTGTGGGCCACATTCATTCTCTAGCATCTTCTCCTTATGTTACACCCCTTCCAGGCACCAGACTTGGCTGGAAAACTAAGTCTTTCCTAGCACAGGTAGCCCGAATCAAAGAACATGAGCATTCAACACTGCTGTGGTTATATATTGCAGTATTTTACACTCAGCTTAACTGGTTAAGTACTTTATTCAGACCCTCTTATACGTCTGTCACTGGTATCACAGTGTTCAGTTCAAGCTATACATCTTTTAACACAATATATCTGGATACTTCCCAGCTTATGTGTCCTAGCACACAGTGCTGTCTCTTGAGCAGACCTTTGCTAGTCCTTTGTACTGTGCAAACCTCCTGTGTGCATCGTCTCTCAGTCATATTCGGGGTCTCCTGTTGCTGGAGAGGCATATCTTCAATAATCAGGCTGCAGAGACTTCTCAGGCTGGCATTTTGGCATTGTGTTGTTTTAGTTGTGACAGCACTCTGGCTGAGTAGCGATAGAGCAAGAGGAAAATGATGCTGTATGCATGTGTACAGAAGTATTGCCCTGTCTGCCTTCCCACTACACCCTGTAGACAGACTGTGAGCAGACACAAGGATGTTGCTAAGGGCTCTATGCATCTGTTTAGGCACTCCTGGGAGAAAGTGGGAGTCAGAGTTGGAGCACTGGACCTGACAAATACAGCCGTCTGGACCGGGACCTGCAATTAGCAAATTCACACTTCATTGAAGAGCAGCAAGCTCAACAACAGGTATGGCAGCTGGCACCACACAGATTAAATAGCTTTGCTTGCCAAATGGGTGCTGTGGGGATGAGGTATGGGCTGAGAGAGCCAAAAAAATCAAGTCCCTGGCTGGTCTGGAACCAGGCGCCTGATAGCCCTCCTCTTTGCTTGCAGCACATAGCTGTGCATGCGTTTCCTGTACATCGCAGCTTTGGATACATCTTGGTGCAGAGTTTTTAAGCCTTGAAGCTTGAGTCTTCTGCTCTGTACCGAAGGCAATCAACATGATCTGGAAGATGTAGCTCACTAAGCTTTAACACTGCAAGGATTGCTGAAATCCTTGGAAGAGTAGAAATACTGCAAACAGAAAAGAGCCTGTTTCTCTTACGCAACTTCCCTGTGTTAAAAAATGAGCTGATGTTTGCTGTTGTTTGTGTGCATCTTCATCAGAACGGGCTGGGAGCAGGAGCATGTGTCTGCTTCCTTTTCCTGCCTTTGTCAACATGAGATTTGTGAGAAAGCCTCTGTGAGGGCTTTGCGAGAGCCCCTGGTGAGGGACTTCCCGACACCGGAGGAGTTCGCCTGTGGAAGTGCCAGGCAGCGTGCAGCAGCCCACCCAAATACAGGCCTTCAAACAGGCAGCTTCTCCAGGGTGGCAAACTCTCCTAAAGCTCCTGACCCACACTGCCACCCCAGCTCTCAGACGAGTTTTACCTAGTGACTCTGGGAAGATAAATAGATTCAGAAATAGGTAACTAGGGTAAATCTAATCCTCAGTGTGACAGCTCCCTGAAAGTGACTTAAAACATTAGCAGACCTATTCCTTTGGCACATTCAGAGCCAGGCTTGCTATTTTTAGCTGTAGAAGCTGCAAAAGCCTTTTACTCACATTAACCCCTTGTTAGCTGCAGCCTGTTTCAGGTTGCATTTCCCATACCTGCTATGAGCAGGGGGGCTTGTGGAGGTTTTGGTGACCAGTCCCTGTGGCTTTCAAGAGTCTCTTTAGTGGTGGGTGCAGCAGGGAACAGCAAGGGCATAGGTGAGCTGAGGCTGGATTTGCAGGGGTGTCAAGAAACTGCAGCCTGCTGTGCCACAGGAATGCCATGCTGGGGAGGCTTTCCTATGGCTGTCACTTCTCCAGCATTTCTTCAGAGTGTGGTCCTCATTCCTTGTGGCTTAGATCTGTACCCAGGCTCTGCAGCTGATGTTGGCTGAGCAGTGAGTGTCCAGCAGATCAGCTGGCTCTGACCCAACTGCCTAATGCAGCATACCTATAATTGCCTGTTTCCTTTGTCTTTGGCCCCAGTTGATTGTGGAGCAGCAGGATGAGCAGTTGGAGCTGGTCTCTGGCAGCATTGGAGTGCTGAAGAACATGTCCCAGCGCATTGGCGGGGAGCTGGAGGAGCAAGCAGTGTAAGTGTCAGAAGCAGCACCAAAAACCCAGTATGGGGCTGGCTGCAACACAGCTGGATGTTCTCACACTCACATCTCTGTCCCTGTTAGGGTATTGAATTTACTAGTCCCTCAGGCAGCCTCTCCTAGCTGGCCTTCAATTTTAGGCAGTGGAAAGCATTTGTAACTGCAGCCTGCAAGGATCCAGCTGCAGCCTTGTTCATTTTGAAAGTCTGCACCTAGGGCAGGCTTAGCTGCCAGTTTGCTTTTCCTTCTCTCTTCTTTCTGCATACTCCCCCTAAAACACACAGCTCCTTGGCTTCAGGCAGCCAGCACTGCTGAAAAGATGAGGGAGGGAGGGAGGTACTGTATAATGGGAATACTGGACACTTTACTACTCCATGGGCTTTTTTTGTTGCCCCTGGATAAATGCTTGACCCAGGAGCTTTCAGCTCTGCCTTGCCACTCTGAAACATGCAGCACAGAGCTGCTATTCATAGTTAAAGCTAAAAATATCCCTCACCCACGCTAAAGGTTAAAGGGTAGCTCACAGGGTAATTTGCATCCATCATTTACATATAAATTAGATTTTTTTCACCGTTCCTGTCCTTTGCAAACAAGTGCATAAAGTTTCCAGTTATGCAGGCTGACAGCTACCGCTTCCAGAGAGGCTTGAAGGGTTCATGCCTGAAAACCCTCTTTGTGTGGCTGATAGGAGTCTGGAAGGCTATGCCCCTTGTGAAGTGATGTCTTGTTTGATGGAGAGGAGGAACTTTAAACGCACCTCCTGATGAAGCCTTGCAGCATGAGACTCTCCTGCTCTCAGGAAGCAGATCAGTATGGTGTGTCTGATTCCAGATCACTGCATAAGCTATCAGTACTTGCTATACAGTAGCAGATGACTACTGCAATGAGTTTCTTTACAACTCTTTCCCCACTGAATGAAGGTTTAACAGTGCCTTAGAATTCCAATTGAAGGATGCTCTCCTTTTAAATGTATTAAGCTTTAAAGTCCTGCTGGCTGGAGACTGTTGGATTGGTATCTTGATTCTGGATGTGCTCTTTTCTCTTCAAATAGGTGCTTGGCATTGGCAAAGCTTGGCTTCAGGAAGGCTTTCAGATTCATTACAGTCTTAGTATGGAGGAAGTAGAGGGGTAACTTCCATGCAGAGCTTAGAAAGCACCTTAAAAGCAATTACGATTTTCATTCCTGCTTGATACATGACTGAAACAAGATTTTTGCTTTAACTACAAGCTCTGAACAAGAAAAGAGATTTCAAGTCCAGGCTGGCACCTAGATCTGTCTAACTGGTGTCTGCTAATCACAGACTATAAATGAGACTTTTCCCGTAAAAAGATGAGAAACCCCATTCCTCACCTTGCAGGGGTGCCTAGAGCTCAGCTGTGGACATGCAGGGAGACCAGTCTGACAGGAGTCCCAAATGACTTCCCACTCCGCAGCAGACCAGCTGCTTCAGCAGGTTTTTCCCCCCTTTTTGGGTGCTTTCAGGAGACCAGGCCACGTTCATTTTCTCTGCCAAGGTGTGATGCACTGATCACATCAAGACTTCTGACCAGTGTGTAAGCATGCTGGGAAATCTCAATGGGACGTGCCACGTGCTGACGAATGCCGTGCTTCTCTGTCCATAGGATGCTGGATGACTTCTCCCATGAATTAGACAGCACTCAGTCGCGGCTTGATAATGTCATGAAGAAGCTCGCCAAAGTGTCTCACATGACAAGTGGTAAATCCTGGGAAGTGGGATCCAATCTTGGGAAGGGAGAGACAAGCTCTCAGATCTTCGGTGGGATGCTATGTGCTCCCACCCGCTGACAGCCGTCCCAGAGCCGAGCAGATGGGAGGGACCAGCTCTCACTGCTTGCAAAAGGGGGAAGACTTTCAAGGCCTGCAGCCGCTCCTGCCCAGACTCTACTCTGCAGGCTGTTCTTAGCCTTTGTTTCCTTTACAGATGCCCTTCTATTTATGCTGCTACCGCTGCAGTGGGAAAATCCCCTCTAGGTGGTTGGAGGGGAAGCTCTGCAGCCTCCTGCTCTGCTGCAGTTTCCCGGGCTGCCTGTGGAACAAAAGCTTTCAAGGTGCCACAAAAACACCACCGTGTGTGGCTTTCCCAGCACCAAATGCCTGCAGCAAGCCCCTTCCCAAATCCCACCTGCCCTCAGGCTGCTGGCGCCCTCGGGCTGCAGGCCTGTTGTCAGTCAGATACATCACTCAGCTGGTGGAGGAAAAAGGCGACTTCTGCACCGGGAGAGGCTGAACCCACGAGAAAGTCCTTATAAGGCTGTGCCTGAAGCCGGTGGGCTGGCAGGGCGCCGCGGGCAGAACAAACAGGAAGCCCGGCATGCCTGCCGGGAAGTCCCCTGCCGCCAGCTCACTGCTCTTGAGTGCTGGTGCTGCGCCTGTGGCCACCTCCTCTGTCACCCCTCTCCCCTGGGTGCTGGGGTAGCATGTGGAGGCAGCAGCGAGGCAGGAGGAGAAGCGTTCCTGCTCTGCAAGATTAGGCTGGAGAGGGGATTTATGAGGTTGTGGAAATACAGCCCTACAGAGACCGTTTGGAGTGCTGACAGTGCACTTTGGATCACCAGTAAGCCCAGTGGCAGCATGACTGCTGGCAAGCCTTGCATATCTCTCCATTCCTCTGGGAAAAATGCTTTGGCATTGGAGTATTCCTGAGAATTGTGAATGAGCGTTTCTGCTATCCCAGGCATTGTATGTGTTGGGGCTGACCAGGAGGGTTCTTCCCTGCTGTGCCCTGAAGTTGGGGGTGGCAGCAGCCCTGTCCCCACTGCTGCACCATTGTCTCGCAGGGGCTTTCTCTCTGGCATGCAGATGTGGCCATAGACAGAGTAGCTCTTAGAGGCAATGCAGCTTTGAGCTTCTGCAGAGCATGCACAAGGCCAGCAAGGTGTGAAGATGTCCATGGGAAACCTCATTCCTGGCACTCTCCTCCAGGGAGCCGCCATAGGCTCTTCCTGGCAGAGCTCTTTTGGGGCAGCTTTCACCAGACCCCTTCTTGTTCCTCCAACAACTAGGTTATTCCAAGAATGAGCAGCAACAAACAGCAGTTTTCTGATTATTCTTCCTGATTGCCTTTGAACCAGCTTATTAAATCTGTTTGAACTTGGCTGGGGAGAAGCCTCAAAATTCCTACAGCTGTCCCTGAAAACAGATGTGTCCTGGAGGAGAAACACTGTCACCCCATAGCCAAAGGAGCTGCTGCTTTGTTTTTTTCAGGCTTCCTTAAGCTTAAACTGGGCTCCTAGTAGTTGAGCAAAGAAAAGCTCTCCCCCAGTTTTCCTTCCCTGTTAAAGCAGGAAGACTGACACGTCCTTTTCCTTCCAGATCGACGGCAGTGGTGTGCAATTGTTGTCCTCTTCGTCATCCTGCTGGTGGTGCTCATCCTGCTTTTTGTCCTGTGATGGACTGAACTTCCTCAGATGCCCCCTCCCTGCCCCCTCGGCCCGGTGTCACAGGGAAATGAAACTCTCACCGTTTCCGTCCGTACGCAGAGATACCTGCCCCCAGCTCTCAACATTCTCCTCTGAGGACCATGGTTCGGCTCTGCTGGTGTCTCACCGGGACCTGGGGAGAAGGGGTGCAGGACTGGAGCTGCCTCCTCCCCCAGTGCAGTGTGATCTGGACCTGACCTTCAGGTCTGGACCCAGGCAGCTGGAGGGGGACTTGACCCCTTACCCTTTCACCTCGTGCAGGTAGGAGCCGGTTGCAGCACTCCCAAGCCGCCTGTGGTCGGATGCGAACACAGAGCAGCAAGCCCTGGGGAGGACAGGAGCGGGGAGGAATTAGTTGATTCACTGAGCATTACAAACTGCATTGCCAGCCTCCAGTGCTTGCCAGCCAAAGGCATTACTGGGAGGAGTGGTGGTGTGGAAGTCCGTGCAGCCGTGGTGAGCAAGGGGAGCCCTGGCTGAACTCCCACTGCCCCACACTGGCTGAACTCCCATGCCTTCCTCCCATGGGCTGGCTCCGTGCTGCTGATCTGCTGCTGAGGTACCACAGTGAGTCTCCAGCTGAGCTCACATCCACCACCGCTTGGCAGAAGCTTGCATGCAGGTGAGCCGTAGGGTGTCCTGTCCTGTCCTGCCATCAGCTGGCTGGGTGCGATGAGAAACCCCAGAGCTTTAAACTTGGGTTGCTGCACGCTGAAAGCTGGCAAACAACCGTTAGCCAGAGAGTGAATTTCTTAAAGCTTTTAAAATTGCCTGCTTCGTTATACAAGCCTCTAAAGCTCATTGACTGATGCTTTCTTTGCCCTTGTATAACTGCTTCTGTTTAACAGCTGCTTCCCTTTGGCAAGTGATTTGTCAGGTCTAAAATAACTTATTTTTTTTAAGGAAAAACCAAAAACTTTAAAGATGTTTTTGATGACCGTTCAAGCCCCATATTCTCTGCGGGTGCACAACATGCATTGTCAGAGGAATGAGGCTCCATTGTGTACTTTAAGTGCATATGAACTTGTAAATAGGATGTCTTAATTTTCCCAACTGCTTTTTTTTGACACCTCCATTGTGAGCAACTAAAAGGCAGGAGATTTAAAGCTAGGTCACATTCCTGTATTACTTCCCAGTCCTGTTAACTTTGAGTTGTCTCAGCAGTGTTGGATAGCCTAGTTGTCTCCCTTGTACAGTGAATTAAAAGTCAGCCAGGTGGTTGATACCAGCATGTGGTGAATAAAGCTCACCCTGGCAGTATCACAGGGGAGAAATGCAGCCAGGGGGTTACGCTGCTAACACCAATTGCAGGGTATGGGGTGACTTCAGAAAAACAAAAGCGATATTTAACTCGCAAACACCAAAAGACTCAGGCCAGGCTGGCTTTACACCTCTCATCTGGCTTTCAGATGGGGCTGGGGGAGGAAGTTAATTGGTGCTGGTGCTAATACTTCTGCTGAAATTGCAACTCGGCCCTGGAAATCATTCTCCTGAAGTGGTAAGCTCACCACCAGACAGCCTTACCTCTGAGATGCTTAGCCTGGACTGAACACTTCTCCCCACCGCGTTTGTGGCTCCCTTCTAGCAGTTGTGTGATGCTCCTGCCCTGCCACAGGTGCTAGGTGCTGATGGCCAGCAGCGCTGTGCCTTCTACAGCCACCAGACTGGGATAAGGGGGTCTGAGATGGATCTGCCCTACCGCACACCTGGGTGGGTGCTTTCCTCATCAATGCACACGTGCCCCGAGCAGCAGCCCGCACTAATGGTTTCAGCAGTTGCTCTTTGTCCCTGTGGAGAACCTCATTTCTTTTGGTGTCATTACAAGAAATATGTGGGGTCTCCTTTCCAGGGCTGGCTATACCAGCAGCTGCATGGCTCCTTGGGCTTAATACCTCTCCAAGAGCAGGTTCCCAGGAGTGTGAGTCTAACCAGAGAATGGGGTTCGCTGTTGGCCAGTATTTGCACACCCTTGATGTTATTTTCAGCATGGTCTTGCATCCTTCAGAAACAACTGATGCTCCATGCAGGGACTGCGCCTTCTTTAGTCTGGCGCAGTGCTGGAGGTTGGCCCAGCTGCTGCCATTGCCGTGAGCCACCGAACAGCCTTCAGTCCCTTTTCTGTGTACATCAGCTTTCTTTGTTGGTGGTGGTGCTGCTCCCTTTAACACTAAATAAACTCACTGCTGCCATGCCACACTGGGCAGCAGCAAAGATCACTGTCCCTTCTCGCAGTGGCCCTTGCTCAGGAACAAGCTGGAGTGGGGGCTCTCCCGGCACCAGGTAGCTGCTGGCAGATGCTACCCACATGTGGGGCACCAGCATGCACAGGGCAGCCATTGCTGGTTCCTGCACTTGCTGGCCCGGCATCTGCTGCAGAGGCCTGTCGGTGCGCAGACACCCTGGTGCCACCCTGCAAGTTTTCCCCACCGTGGCTGGAATAAAACAAACCCCAGACAGGCAGCAGGAGTGCGGACCCCCCCTTTAGCTATGAATACTTGCAAGCATGTTCTCAGTGCTGTCCCAGCAGCACACACAGGAAGAGAACCGTCACCCCGTGCTCCTCCTAGCCCACAGTGCTGCTCATCAGGGCGGGGAAGGGGCTTTGCTCAGCTCAAGGGGCAGTGCAGGTGGCTGAGCCCCCCTCCCCATCTGCCTGCTTAGGGCCCTCCAGCACCTGCACACGGTCCGGAGGTGCAAGATCTCACAAAACACAGGCTGCCAGGGAATAGCACTGCGGGGAGTACACTCACCCCTCAGCACAGTGCCCTGCAGAGCATTAGCCCAGGGAGCCCCTCTTACCCCCGTCGCTATTTCCTCACCCCACAGACTAAACAGGTCCGTAGGCCCAATTGCTTCTCCTGGCTTTAGATTACAGCATCCAGGCTCACTCTGTCCTGAGGCTGTGGGGCATGCCAGGACGTGTTCAGAACCCTGGGTTTACACAGTAAAGCCCACTGTAATTACAGTGGCCCAAGGCAGAGGGGTGTCTCAGCCTCATGGGAAAGCACCCACACGCTCCCCTGCACCCATCAAGAGCCCCACAACCCCGGCCCTGAGGCCCCTGGCCAGCCCACACCAGTAAGCATCACCCCAGCCTCCCGTAAGCCAAGGGCACCCTGATGCGTTATTACATATATGTACATATTTTAATGTTTCCAGCAGTGTGAAATAATTTAAAAGAAACCCACCAGCCCATGCGGGCAGGTATTTAGCACGGGCAGGGAGCCCTGTATCTTCTGGAGTCACAGAGATGGGGCATTGCCAAATGCCCAGCAGGCCGGACCTAGCCTGCCTTGATGGTGGGGCTGGGGTGTCCTTTGTCCCCACAGCTGGGGCAGCTCTTCAAGATGCTGGACACCGGGGAGTCCTTGGTCCCACTTTGTCTCCCGGGGAGGGGACCTCCACCACAGTGGGGAGCAAGTGTTGCACGGGAGCAGGGCAGGTCCTGGTGCTGCATGGCGGTTTGGTCCACTCTGTGCCAGCCTGCAACGTCCCATTGGTGGGATGTCATCCTCCTCACACCAGGCTTCCCAGGAGCTGTGCTGGGGCTACCGGGGTGCTGGGCGGTGCCTGAGCACACGGAGCGACAGCGTGTCCGCCTGGAGCAGCAGCTCACGGATGCGGGCCAACCCCAGCCCCGAAACGGCTGCCCCATTGACCTGCAGAATCTCATCCCCCACACCCAGGAGCCCCGCATACAGCTTGGCTGTGCTGGCGTCCACCATCTCCTGCACGTAGACACCTACGGAGAGGGATGGGACAGGTGAGCCCCCACCCTGCACCCCGTGGCTGGAGCTGTGCCCCGTAGGGGTGCCCAGGGCTGCCCAGTCATAAATACTGTAAATGGCTTTTCAGACAGGCTGTGTCCCCCAAGCCAGGGGCTGATGGACATGTGGGACTGTGTGCACAAAGCCACACATGTGGCAGTATCCCCCCATCCACCATCACCCCTTTGGGGCTCAGCAGGGATGGAGCAGCCCTTTGTACCTGTCCCCAGGCTTGCGCCTGTGAAGGGAGAAGAGCCACTGTGGAGGGGCCATGCCAGGCCTCCCCTAGGGTCTGGGTGAAGCTTTGGGATGACCCCACCATACCTTTGTCAGGCCGGCCATGCCCAGAGGTGACACAGAACCCGAAGGCACCCTGGGGGGGTCGCTGCAGCTCCAGCTGGCTGGTGCCATCAGGGTAGACCTCCACCACACGCCCCACTGCACGCAGCCGGCCGGGCACCCCAATGTCCTCCACGCTCAGCGAGCGCCGTGGCCCTGAGCCCCGCTTCCTGCAGGGAGAGGGGAGATGGGGTGAGCGCGGGCCCTGGCTGCACCGAGCCACTGCATGTGTCTGAGCACCCCGAAACAGCAGATGTGCAGCCCCATCCTACCTGTTAGCCGTGGTCTGAGGCAGGAGGTAGGCACTGGCACGGGGTGCCTTGCCCAGGAGTGGGTGCAGGCTCTGAACAGAGGCGGCATTTTGGGGCTGATGGAAGGGTGACACCTGGAGAAAAGCACCTGATTGAGACAGGGACAGCAAAAGCTGTGCAGCACTGCAGCCCACCATGCACCAACATGCAGAGGGAGCAGGGGGTAACAGCGCATCTTTCTTACACCTTCCCCCCCACCCCCTGCGTCCACTGCTGAGGAGAGATAAGCCAGCGTCCCCCTCCCTGGGCAGGGACAACCCCCGATGCTTCCTGAGGAGGCATCTCACTGTGGCCATGACCCTAAACCAAATTACCCTATCTCCCCTCCCCAAAGCTGCTTTTCCACCCTCCCTTGCTCGCTCCCTCCCCCTTCCATTCCTCATTTGGCTGCAGGCTTTTCAAACTCCCAAGTTTGGGATGGACCATGCCACCACCACCCCCCCCCCCAGTTCTTCCTGTGGGACCATAAAGCAATGGCTCAGGAATGCTCCAGCCCAGTCCAGCACCTCTTCTCCTGTGGGACCCCTCGGCTCCCTGCAGATACCCCTGACATGGGCTGATGTTTCAAGCTCACCAGCTGCAGGGACTGCAGGGAGGGTGACTTCTTCATGCTGGACCCATCTGGGGCGGTGCTGCCGGGGGCCGGGAGCTGCTCCATGCTGTAGCAGCGGAAGCGGCCCAGGCGCTGCTTCGTGCTCTGGCTGAGGCTGCACAGGAGCTTCTTCAGCCCTGATGCCGAAGTGCTGCTCCCCTTGCGGCTCACTGGCTGCCCCGGCTCCCTGGATGGAGAGGGGTGACAGTCATCCACCCTGTACACGGGGGGAGCAAGGCCAGCGGGTGTTTCAGGGCTGGGGGCACATCCTGCACCCGCCACTGCAGCCTTGAGAGCTGCACTGTGGTGGGACTGGGGTGCTGCCACCTCCCTGCAGCAGTAACTCAGCTTGCACAAGGGCAGGTTTC